GCAGCATAAGTTACAGCACTTTTGCGGCTTCTTCAAGATCTAACAGTTTCTGGTTTTTGAATGGTCGATTCAGAAGCGCAGACATTGTATTATTGGTCGTAGTTTTGTAGTCCAGTATTGCCTGCATCTCACCTTTGGCTCTGCCTCCTCTTCTCTCCTATTGGCCAGTTCCTGCCGCCTCAGCTGGTCCTCAAAGTATCTGAACTGTTCGGATTCTATCTGCATCCGTCGCAGAGCGGCGACTCGCTGTTTCTCCTCCTCCAACATCAGGAAACGCCTCCTGCATCGTCCAATAGGGAGAGTCGCTGCAGCTGCTGGTCACACCCATCCACCACCACGGCTGGCTCTGAGCAAACAGGAATAATCATAATAACTTAACTTATAAAGCAACTTTTAAAATGAGTTACATAATGCTTTAACAGAAAAATCAGGACAAACAGAGGCAGGTCTTTAAAATGAAATCTACACAGAAGGTCGACAAGAACGACGCAAATAAAAGTAGTTAAAGAGATAAAACATGAAAGGTAGTTAAAATACTTAAATAAATTAAGTAATACTAAACATTATACAAAGACTACAAGACGATGACATCACATCAGGGGAAATAAAACAAAGATAAAAAGAGGTAAATCAGTTAATAAATAAAAGCAATAAATGACAACTAGAAGAGGAAGGATTAAAAACAGATAAATAGATGAAGAACAGTAAACAAATAAAGGAAAAGTAACAGATACATAATTTCAATCATTTACATTCGATCAACTTTCTTAAAGGTCACATATTCTGTAAAATCCCCCAATGATGAGAAAAGTCCATCCTCTCCGTCTTCTTCCTGCTCCACTTTTCAGAAAATGTGTGCTCAAACAGACCGTTTGGAGATTTTCCCTTCATGACATCACAAAGGGCAGTAGTCCCTCCCCCAGGTGGGTGACACTCCCACAGCTAGTGTTTGTTCTGCCCTCTAGTCTGCCTTCTCACCGTAAACAATAGGACATAGCGAGAAAGACCGAGACACCCCAAGCCCTTCCAGAGAGGGGGCGTGTCAGACACAGCTCATTTACATATTTAAAGTACAGACACAGAAAACAGCCTGTTCTGAGCAGGCTGAAATAGAGGGGTTTATAGACATGATCAAAACAGGATCAGAGTGGATTTAGAACAAGAAACTTGTCACACCACACCACACCACACCACACCACACACACACACACACACACCACACACACACACACACACACCACACACCACACACACACACCACACCACACACACACACACACACACACACACCACACACACACACACACACACACACACACACACACACACACACACACCACACACACCTGGGCTCTGAGGTACTCGCTGTGTTCCCTGCTGTATTTTCCTGAAGACGTTTCTTCAACTCGTCTTTACGAGGAACGCGACTTCCTGAAGTTTCTACAGAGAGACCGCAAAGGAATTATAAAAATAAAAGCGCAAATAACTACAAATGAATCAATCAGATGTTTTTCTCTTCTTCTTCTTATTATTTTGTAATGAATATTTTGTACCTTCATGATGAGCTGCTTCTCGGGGACGCTGCACTGCTGGTAGTCTCTGTGACCGGGCAGCTTCTCACAAACAGCCTGAACACAAACACAGGTATGATCCCTCGTTTACTCTCGTCTGTAATCAATAAAATAAATAAATAAATCTGATTGGTCGTCGGTCGGCCTCACGTGATGAACTTGGTGTAGAGACGTAGGCGTTCTCCAGACTGCCCTCCTCCAGGTAAACCGCCGCCATCCGCTCCATCTCCACCCGGAGCGGAAGTAACGTCTCGGCTCGATGTCCTCGTTGATCTCCACGCTGTAGCCCATCTTCCCCAGCGCCCGCACACGCTCCGCCGCCGTCAGAGACACGTCCGTGTAGTCAGCCTCTGCTGCTAGCTTCTTCTGCAGAACACACACACACACACACACACACACACACACACCACACACACACACACACACACACACACACACACACACACACACACACACACACACACACACACACACACACACACACACACACACAGGTCAGAGCTGAGCAGGAGTTGTACACAGGAAGTGAGTTTTTAGATTTTGGTTCATATTTTTAACCAAACGAGAGAGAGGTGCAGCTGACCCTTGACCCCTCGCTCCTCTCCTGCTGACCCTCTGATCAAAATGTTGCCAAGGGCGCGCTGGTGGTGTAATGATTAGGGCGTGCGTCCCATGTGTTGAGACTCTCGTCTCGAGCGGCAGGCCCGGGTTCGCCTCCACCCGTGGCCCCTTTCCACATGTCATTCCCCGCTCTCTCTCTGGTTTCAGACTCTATCCACTGTCCTCTCTCTCTCTGGTTTCTGACTCTATCCACTGTCCTCTCTCTCCCTGGTTTCAGACTCTGTCCACTGTCCTCTCTCTCTCTGGTTTCTGACTCTATCCACTGTCCTCTCTCTCCCTGGTTTCAGACTCTATCCACTGTCCTCTCTCTCTGGTTTCTGACTCTATCCACTGTCCTCTCTCTCTCTCTCTGACTCTATCCACTGTCCTCTCTCTCTGGTTTCAGACTCTATCTACTGTCCTCTCTCTCTCTCTGGTTTCAGACTCTATCCACTGTCCTCTCTCTCTCTGGTTTCAGACTCTATCCACTGTCCTCTCTCTCTCTGGTTTCAGACTCTATCCACTGTCCTCTCTCTCTCTCTGGTTTCTGACTCTATCCACTGTCCTCTCTCTCTCTCTGGTTTCTGACTCTATCCACTGTCCTCTCTCTCTCTCTGGTTTCAGACTCTATCCACTGTCCTCTCTCTCTCTGGTTTCAGACTCTATCCACTGTCCTCTCTCTCTCTGGTTTCAGACTCTATCCACTGTCCTCTCTCCTCTGGTTTCAGACTCTATCCACTGTCCTCTCTCTCTGGTTTCTGACTCTATCCACTGTCCTCTCTCTCTCTGGTTTCAGACTCTATCCACTGTCCTCTCTCTCTCTCTCTGACTCTATCCACTGTCCTCTCTCTCTCTGGTTTCAGACTCTATCCACTGTCCTCTCTCTCTCTGGTTTCAGACTCTATCCACTGTCCTCTCTCTCTCTGGTTTCTGACTCTATCCACTGTCCTCTCTCTCTCTGGTTTCAGACTCTATCCACTGTCCTCTCTCTCCTGGTTTCAGACTCTATCCACTGTCCTCTCTCTCTCTCTGGTTTCAGACTCTATCCACTGTCCTCTCTCTCTCTGGTTTCAGACTCTATCCACTGTCCTCTCTCTCCTCTGGTTTCAGACTCTATCCACTGTCCTCTCTCTCTCTGGTTTCAGACTCTATCCACTGTCCTCTCTCTCTCTGGTTTCAGACTCTATCCACTGTCCTCTCTCTCTCTGGTTTCAGACTCTATCCACTGTCCTCTCTCTCTCTGGTTTCAGACTCTATCCACTGTCCTCTCTCTCTCTCTGGTTTCAGACTCTATCCACTGTCCTCTCTCTCTCTCTGGTTTCAGACTCTATCCACTGTCCTCTCTCTCTCTGGTTTCAGACTCTATCCACTGTCCTCTCTCTCTCTCTCTGACTCTATCCACTGTCCTCTCTCTCTCTCTGACTCTATCCACTGTCCTCTCTCTCTCTCTCTGGTTTCAGACTCTATCCACTGTCCTCTCTCTCTCTCTCTGACTCTATCCACTGTCCTCTCTCTCTCTGACTCTATCCACTGTCCTCTCTCTCTCTGGTTTCAGACTCTATCCACTGTCCTCTCTCTCCTGGTTTCAGACTCTATCCACTGTCCTCTCTCTCTGGTTTCTGACTCTATCCACTGTCCTCTCTCTCTCTGGTTTCAGACTCTATCCACTGTCCTCTCTCTCTCTTCTGACTCTATCCACTGTCCTCTCTCTCTCTGGTTTCAGACTCTATCCTCTGTCCTCTCTCTCTCTGGTTTCAGACTCTATCCACTGTCCTCTCTCTCTCTCTGGTTTCTGACTCTATCCACTGTCCTCTCTCTCTCTGGTTTCAGACTCTATCCACTGTCCTCTCTCTCTCTGGTTTCAGACTCTATCCACTGTCCTCTCTCTCTCTCTGGTTTCAGACTCTATCCACTGTCCTCTCTCTCTCTGGTTTCAGACTCTATCCACTGTCCTCTCTCTCTCTGGTTTCAGACTCTATCCACTGTCCTCTCTCTCTCTGGTTTCAGACTCTATCCACTGTCCTCTCTCTCCCTGGTTTCAGACTCTATCCACTGTCCTCTCTCTCTCCCTGGTTTCAGACTCTATCCACTGTCCTCTCTCTCTCTGGTTTCAGACTCTATCCACTGTCCTCTCTCTCTCTCTGGTTTCAGACTCTATCCACTGTCCTCTCTCTCTCTGGTTTCAGACTCTATCCACTGTCCTCTCTCTCTCTGGTTTCAGACTCTATCCACTGTCCTCTCTCTCTCTCTCTGACTCTATCCACTGTCCTCTCTCTCTCTCTGACTCTATCCACTGTCCTCTCTCTCTCTCTCTGACTCTATCCACTGTCCTCTCTCTCTCTGACTCTATCCACTGTCCTCTCTCTCTCTCTGGTTTCAGACTCTATCCACTGTCCTCTCTCTCTCTCTCTGGTTTCTGACTCTATCCACTGTCCTCTCTCTCTCTGGTTTCTGACTCTATCCACTGTCCTCTCTCTCTCTGGTTTCAGACTCTATCCACTGTCCTCTCTCTCTCTGGTTTCAGACTCTATCCACTGTCCTCTCTCTCTCTGGTTTCAGACTCTATCCACTGTCCTCTCTCTCTCTCTGGTTTCTGACTCTATCCACTGTCCTCTCTCTCCTGGTTTCAGACTCTATCCACTGTCCTCTCTCTCTCTCTGGTTTCTGACTCTATCCACTGTCCTCTCTCTCCTCTGGTTTCTGACTCTATCCACTGTCCTCTCTCTCTCTCTGGTTTCAGACTCTATCCACTGTCCTCTCTCTCTCTCTGGTTTCAGACTCTATCCACTGTCCTCTCTCTCTCTCTGGTTTCAGACTCTATCCACTGTCCTCTCTCTCTCTGGTTTCAGACTCTATCCACTGTCCTCTCTCTCTCTGGTTTCAGACTCTATCCACTGTCCTCTCTCTCTCTCTCTCTGACTCTATCCACTGTCCTCTCTCTCTCTCTGGTTTCTGACTCTATCCACTGTCCTCTCTCTCTCTCTGGTTTCAGACTCTATCCACTGTCCTCTCTCTCTCTCTGACTCTATCCACTGTCCTCTCTCTCTCTGGTTTCAGACTCTATCCACTGTCCTCTCTCTCTCTCTCTGGTTTCAGACTCTATCCACTGTCCTCTCTCTCTCTCTGGTTTCAGACTCTATCCACTGTCCTCTCTCTCTCTCTCTGACTCTATCCACTGTCCTCTCTCTCTCTCTGGTTTCAGACTCTATCCACTGTCCTCTCTCTCTCTGGTTTCAGACTCTATCCACTGTCCTCTCTCTCTCTGGTTTCTGACTCTATCCACTGTCCTCTCTCTCTCTGGTTTCTGACTCTATCCACTGTCCTCTCTCTCTGGTTTCAGACTCTATCCACTGTCCTCTCTCTCTCTCTGGTTTCTGACTCTATCCACTGTCCTCTCTCTCTCTGGTTTCAGACTCTATCCACTGTCCTCTCTCTCTCTCTGGTTTCTGACTCTATCCACTGTCCTCTCTCTCTCTCTGGTTTCAGACTCTATCCACTGTCCTCTCTCTCTCTCTGGTTTCAGACTCTATCCACTGTCCTCTCTCTCTCTGGTTTCAGACTCTATCCACTGTTCCCTCTCTCTCTCTGGTTTCAGACTCTATCCACTGTCCTCTCTCTCCTCTGGTTTCAGACTCTATCCACTGTCCTCTCTCTCTCTCTCTGACTCTATCCACTGTCCTCTCTCTCTCTCTGGTTTCAGACTCTATCCACTGTCCTCTCTCTCTCTCTGGTTTCAGACTCTATCCACTGTCCTCTCTCTCTCTCTCTGACTCTATCCACTGTCCTCTCTCTCTCTGGTTTCAGACTCTATCCACTGTCCTCTCTCTCTCTCTCTCTGGTTTCAGACTCTATCCACTGTCCTCTCTCTCTCTCTGGTTTCAGACTCTATCCACTGTCCTCTCTCTCTCTTCTGACTCTATCCACTGTCCTCTCTCTCTCTCTGGTTTCAGACTCTATCCACTGTCCTCTCTCTCTCTGGTTTCAGACTCTATCCACTGTCCTCTCTCTCTCTGGTTTCTGACTCTATCCACTGTCCTCTCTCTCTCTGGTTTCTGACTCTATCCACTGTCCTCTCTCTCTCTGGTTTCAGACTCTATCCACTGTCCTCTCTCTCTCTCTGGTTTCAGACTCTATCCACTGTCCTCTCTCTCTCTCTCTGGTTTCTGACTCTATCCACTGTCCTCTCTCTCTCTGGTTTCTGACTCTATCCACTGTCCTCTCTCTCTCTCTGGTTTCAGACTCTATCCACTGTCCTCTCTCTCTCTCTGGTTTCAGACTCTATCCACTGTCCTCTCTCTCTCTGGTTTCAGACTCTATCCACTGTCCTCTCTCTCTCTCTGGTTTCTGACTCTATCCACTGTCCTCTCTCTCTCTCTGGTTTCAGACTCTATCCACTGTCCTCTCTCTCTCTCTGGTTTCAGACTCTATCCACTGTCCTCTCTCTCTCTCTGGTTTCAGACTCTATCCACTGTCCTCTCTCTCTCCCTGGTTTCAGACTCTATCCACTGTCCTCTCTCTCTCTGGTTTCTGACTCTATCCACTGTCCTCTCTCTCTCTCTGGTTTCAGACTCTATCCACTGTCCTCTCTCTCTCTCTCTGACTCTATCCACTGTCCTCTCTCTCTCTCTCTGACTCTATCCACTGTCCTCTCTCTCTCTCTGGTTTCTGACTCTATCCACTGTCCTCTCTCTGCATTAAAGGCACGAAAAGCCCAAAAATATATCTTTAAAAAAAACGTTGCCAACATATTTGTGCAATTTAGACATTTTGCAGGAGATTGTTTTCAATTGTTGGCGATCAAAAACAACAAATTACCCAGTATCAGGAGTCTAGGACTTCTATTTTTTGTTGCAGCGGTGCCGATATCATTCGATTTTTACTAGAATCACATCAAAGTTTTGAATTCTGGTATTGTGACTAAAGCCTCGACGGTGACTTTAGTTTAAAACACTCCATCCGAGTAAATGAAGATCGTTTCATCACGTCACCACTGCTCATCAAACGGGAACATCTGACAGCTGAGCTGGAGCGTGTTTTCAGGCAGGAAACTGAGATTTACGGTCCCCGCAGGGAGCCTGAATGCAGCGCTTGTTGGAGGAGGACAAATGCTCCTCTGTCGGGAAAACGCTTTTTATTCAAGACAGAACGTTGAGGAAGAGGAAGAGGAGGAGACCGGAAGGAGAGAAACTGAAGGAAGAAACAAATCTGAGAAATAGATATCGATGATCTGGACTCACATTCACACATACAGACAATTTAGAGTCTCCAGTGAACCTAACGAGTGTCTTTGGACTGTGGGAGGAAGCCGGAGTACCCTTCCTTGGCTCCGGCCCCCCCCGCTGGGGCGACGTCGTACGGGGAAAGTGGTAAAGTTAACGGATGGATCTTGTGAGTTTAGACGCCGTATGTCAAAAAATGTCAACGTTTTTTTTTTCTAATCCCTTCTATTCGATTCTATTTCTATATTGATGAAGGTTAAATTTAGATGCATTTATTGTCTCACTACAAAACTGGAATTTTAAACTTCGGTAAGAAACTTTTAAAATTCTGTCGAAACACTTAAAATAATCCTTAAAGAGATTTTCAATATGAGAACGTAACAAATTCAAACAGTTCTCTCTCTCTCTCTGTCTCTTTCTGTCTCTCTTTCTCTCTCTCTCTCGTCTCTCTCTCTCTGCTCTCTCTCTCTCTGTCTCTCTCTCTCTCTCTGTGTCTCTCTCTCTCTCTCTCTCTCTCTGTCTCTCTCTGTCTCTGTGTCTCTCTCTCTCTCTGTCTCTCTCTCTCTCTCTTTCTCTCTCTCTCTCTGTCTCTCTCTCTCTGTCTCTCTCTCTCTCTCTCTCTCTCTCTCTCTCTGTGTCTCTCTCTCTCTCTCTCTTCTCTGTCTCTCTCTGTCTCTCTCTCTCTCTCTCTCTCTCTCTCTCTCTCTGAGAGACACACACCACACACACACACACACACACACACACACTAAACTCACCAGCGTGTGTATGCTGAAGCCTTGTTCCATGGTGTAAAGGAGTGTGTGTGTGTGTGGGTGTGTGTGTCAACGGCTCCGGTCAGCCCACGGCCTGGTCGTCCATCTACCACCTCCCATGATGCTTCACTGTGGGGGGGGAAACGATAAACAAAAACAAAGCGTCATTGAGGAGAAAAAAAAAGAAAAAAGCGTTTTATTGCGAAATGTTCCTTTAGCAGCAGCTAGCATGGCGGCTAACGCTAAAACAAGTCATCAGCCAAATCAGAGCGCCTCGTGCTGCGTGATTGTCCTTGAGTTTGGTCCATGGTTACCGTGACAACGGGCAACTCTCAGTGAGTCAGCCACTTTAACAATGAAGAGACAAAAACACCAAAGCAGACAAAGAGAGGACGACCTCTCACTCCTCAACATTTGCAACAGCTAGAACGAGCAGATGGAAACTCGAGCAGCAGATGAGCCGCCGCAGCGACAAACAAACAGCTCTGAATCACGCCGTCGTCAACACCGTCTGCTGCAGTCGGCCTGGAGGAGGTCACCATGGCAACCGGTGCATCAAGGCCGTGGAGCAGGAAAAACAAGAGGAGCACTGAGAGTTGAAAACATGAATTGATGAAACTTCAAGTAATAAAAATGAAACGAGGCGTTACCGTGGAAACATGACTAAAGATCAGTCGGTTTTGTTTAAACTTTGGTACTTTTAGAAGCGTGCTGAGCAGCGCCCCCTGCAGGTTTGAGTCTAAAGTTGTATTTATTGTGGCGCTCTGTTGACCCTGTAATGATCCCTGCAGCCTCTAGGGGGCGCTCACACAACTTTCCCCTCAATGACCTGAAACCTGAAGGAGTGAAGAATGTAACCTGATCCGCTTGAAAACCGGTTCTGGTGTTTCAGGTGTGTTCACGCTGCAGACATCCTGCTCGACCACATTCACTGTAACACACACACACACACACACACACACACACACACACACACACACACACACACACACACACACACACACACACACACACACACACACACACACACACACACACACACACACACACACACACACACACACACACACACACACACACACACACACACACTGAGAGCGTTATCTCCCTCGACAACGAGCTTTACCTGAGGAGCGTCTCTGAGCGAGGACGGGGACACAGATGTTTATCTCAGTGAGGAGGCGTGGTTGAACCCGTTGTTGGGTATCTTTCAAAAGCTGTGATTGGTTGAAGCGATAATGGGCATAATGAAAAAAGAGGGTGATGTCACTCGGGTGTAATCGTAGAATCGAGTCAGACTTCATTATTCTGTGAGATGATATTAGAATAAATGTGTTCACCTGTTTGAGCAGAGAGACCCCCCCTCCTCTTTTTATTTAATTTTTTTAATGTTATTTATTACGTTTTTGTCAAACTGAATGTATTTATATATATTTTTATTTTTTGATGAGTCTGTGTCTTCTTGTGTTGTCCTGTTAGTATCTATGTTACGACAGTCGCTAAAGGTCAACTAGCTTAGGGAGCTAAATGAGTGTTTACTATTTTATTGTCTTGTTTTTCTGTTGAATTGGGGCTTTTTGTTTTACTTTATGCAGATACTCTGATTTACTCCTACGTGACATTATGTTGTATTGTCTGCAATGTATTAAAAAGATTTGGAAACTAAGCTGCAGCAGTCGACCATCTGGAAGATGGAGAACGATTTCTACGAGTTTGTGTGCAGCGGCCTTTTTCACCTGCTGAAGGTTCAGTCAAAACGTGAAGAAACTCTTCAATATGATCCAATAAGAATTCTCTCAATCAAGACTCCCGTCTGTAGGGGCGCCGAGTGGTTAGTACGAGGCTTAATGCTGCATTCAGGTGCTGCTCGGGTGGTCCCAGTTTCCGAGTTTGGAAGTCGTTTGTTTTCCGACTTCAGCGTGTTCAGAAAGTCGTAAATGTTGTAACAACAGCGAAAAAAAACAGCGTTGATGCTACAAAGAAGAAGATCTGAGAAATGTTTCTGTTAAAAGTGATATTTTAGCAAAAAGTTGATGTGCAATACGTGAATTAATAAAAAGTATGTTAACATTAACAAAACATATTTTGCCCCCCATGTGACGGGGTGAAGTCGAGAAGTCGGGCACATCATTCTTTTCAGAGATTCCGACTTGAGCAGGTGTTCATGTGCATTTTACAACTCGGAAGCTCATATTTCCGATGTTTTACGACACCACATGAATGCAGCATTAGTCCTCGCCTCTCTTATGACCTCTAAAGACTCTCTTCTCCCAGCTCTGGAGAGCAGCCCTCCTCTGGCAGCCCTGCAGCGTTCTGCCCCCGCCAGAAGGCTCCCAGAGAGTCGGCCAATCAGAAGAAGGTGGGCACGTGGGGGGGAGGGAGGGGGGGGGGTCTTAAAGAGACAGCAGCGGATTTTTTTAAGCTGCTAATCATGCAAAGCTGCTCTGCAGGTTTCACAGACTGACAACACAAGAGGAGATCTTTAAATAAATCAAATATTACTTTGACTCTTTAAAGGAAGTCCTGCATAAATCAGACTTTTCAAAATAAGATTCAGGTTTTTGTTACAAACACTTTCCTCCAGATGAAGCGCTTCAGGATTATTTCAGTTAAGGTTCATTAATTTGTTCAGCAAAGATGATTAGAATTATTTTAAATCGTGTTTGATATTTTCTTCAAATGAGAAAATGACACCTGATTGGCTGAAGGTGAGCAGTAAATCAGCGCGCGCTCACTCAGTTGCACCTGTCTCTACCTGACCGCCTCACGGATGATGATTGACAGCTCGGATGATTGACAGCTCGGGAGGAGGACACAGACAAGAGGGACAGAAAGCTCCGGGAGGACGGGGACTTCATTTACCGCTCTGATGTCGCTCCGACGTCCACGGTCCGTCCGCATCACCGGGTCACGTGAGGGGATACCCCGGGTCACACCTGTCCGTCCACACCTGACCCGGGTCTGACACCTGACCCGGGTTAAATGTAACCTGGGAGAAATAAAGCAGATGTGATGAAGCAGCTGATAAAATGGCTGAAAGCTCCCGAGCTGCTCCTCACGCCGCGGACAGAGATGGTGGAGAGCGAAGATCCTCTCCGCACGAAGATGACTCACTCACTTTTTCCGGTTTCACTGGCGAATGGGACGATACTGCACATGCGCAGTACTTCTGCCAAAGGGAAGAGTGAATCTGTAGTATCTGTGACATCTCACACTGACAGATTTTCATGATACCAAACTGTGGTGATGTGAGGTAAAGGTTTCATGATAAGAACAATCAAAGGTTATTTCTAAATGAAGTCACATCTGATAAATCTGAGCAAAGTGACACTCATCTCATTAAAGTGTTATATTATGATGTATATTTTAATAAACCTTAATGAGTCTCTTTTTAAAGAAGGCAAAAGTGTTGAAATGTGAGGTTTTATTAAATTAATGTTCAGTTCAAATGGTCTCAGTTAAAGAACTCCCCCTCCTCCACCTTTTCAAACAGTCCCCTCCTCCACCTTTTCAAACAGTCCCCTCCTCCACCTTTTCAAACAGTCCTCCTCCTCCACCTTTTCAAACAGTCCTCCTCCTCCACCTTTTCAAACAGTCCTCCTCCACCTTTTCAAACAGTCCTCCTCCACCTTTTCAAACAGTCCCTCCTCCACCTTTTCAAACAGTCCCCTCCTCCACCTTTTCAAACAGTCCTCCTCCACCTTTTCAAACAGTCCCTCCTCCACCTTTTCAAACAGTCCTCCTCCACCTTTTCAAACAGTCCCCTCCTCCACCTTTTCAAACAGTCCCCTCCTCCACCTTTTCAAAGAGTCCTCCTCCATCTTTTCAAACAGTCCCCTCCTCCACCTTTTCAAACAGTCCTCTCCTCCACCTTTTCAAACAGTCCTCCTCCATTCTTTTCAAACAGTCCTCCTCCACCTTTTCAAACAGTCCTCCTCCACCTTTTCAAACAGTCCCTCCTCCACCTTTTCAAACAGTCCCCTCCTCCACCTTTCAAACAGTCCCCTCCTCCACCTTTTCAAACAGTCCTCCTCCTCCACCTTTTCAAACAGTCCTCCTCCACCTTTTCAACAGTCCCCTCCTCCACCTTTTCAAACAGTCCCCTCCTCCACTTTCAAACAGACCCCTCCTCCACCTTTTCAAACAGTCCCCTCCTCCACCTTTTCAAACAGTCCTCCTCCACCTTTTCAAACAGTCCCCTCCTCCACCTTTTCAAACAGTCCTCCTCCTCCACCTTTTCAAACAGTCCCTCCTCCATCTTTTCAAACAGTTCCTCCTCCACCTTTTCAAACAGTCCTCCTCCACTTTTCAAACACATCCTCCTCCACCTTTTCAAACAGTCCCTCCTCCACCTTTTCAAACAGTCCTCCTCCACCTTTTCAAACAAGTCC